GAATTTCAAAAATCCCATTGGAGGCTATGTTTTTTTAATGAACCGATCTCTAACCAGTACACATCACAGTGTAAGAAAGGTATTCCCCCAAATGGGATGAAGGTTGTAGACTTGTTTGCTCCATAACGAATAAAATATCGCGAACACCCGACTGCAAGGTATGTCCCTTAATTAATGATTGTTTACGCCAGGGTACCCGCTGCTAAGGTCAGTTTACATTACGGAGGTTCTAGGCACGCGTAATGCTGACAAAATGACTGGTGGGCGGTTGCCAAATATTGTCGTCATTTCCCGCCATCATCGGTCATCTTTCTTTTGTCCGACGCCAGGACTGTTGCTATTGGTAACATGCACACTGGCACACACACGCACACACCCCTAAAAATTTGCGCTGGGCTCGACTGCACTACGAAGGCGAGCTCAGAGGCCAGAAACAAAACTTGTCCAGTCCATAACAGCGACGTATCAGGCGGGGGAGGGGTGGTGGAGGTGTTGCCTCCCTGGAGAAACGTTGCCCATTTTTAGAAATCGAAAGCACCAGCATTCTAAAAAAAATGGTGCTACCACCTTTCTTAGGGAAAAGAGATTGGATGTTGGAGATTGTATAGATAAATATGGATAGTTATGCTTGAGAGAAAATTATACCCTCCACCGAGCACAGCCTTTGATACCCCACTAGCATCAACTTTGTAGAGAGTTATTTATTAACTTTAAAAGTCTTATGACATCTTCAAACAAGCTATAGCACCAGGGCTTTTGTTCATTGTCATTATTCTGATCTTGTACGCAATAATCGAGCATTTGGAAAGTAAAAAGCAATTCGAAATAATACTTAACAAGCTAATCGTTTGAATTTACTCTGTTTTCTGAGCACTTGTTTTATTTTTGTGACACGAACTAGCCTTGATATATTGAGCAATCGAGCAATAGCAGAACAATGGGATTCTATTTCAGACAAATAGATGTGACCCTTATCGCGTACTCTAATGTCCAACACATGTTCATGGTCCCACATTCCAGTATTCAATACATGTGGCGCAGAGCTTAAAGCACAAAGGTCAATTATTTCAGACATCGCTGAACAAAAACAATAGGCCTACAGGTCACGCAGAGATACAGATAACCTTTCTAACTTCGACAATTTCAACGCTAGCCGCTGATTTGATCAGTTCAGCAATCAGTATCACGTTTTCCCCCGATATAGATTCGACTTTCGAGTGCGTGAAAATTGACCCAAACACCAGCAACAACTGTTTTGCAGGCGCGCAGGCTGTGGAGATCCCTAAACTCATTTAACCCCCAAGGCTCTACACCTTAGCATACTTTCTTAGAATTATGCCTTTTCTCTACGATTCCGAATGTGGCATTCATGTGCTGAGTTATCTCCTTCGTAAAAAATGAACCATGCAAAAGGCTCTGTTTAGGCCTATGCATGGTTTAAGTTTTTGCAAGACAGTGAAGTGATCAAAACTGTACTTAGCCAAATGGCAATGTATCATCCACAACACTTCACAAAAATATCTAGATACATGATTGTACATGTAGCTCTTACTGTCCTGCATTTACATTATCTCAGTAAAGGGTACATAATAAAAAGAGCTCAATGGAAATTGGAAATGCTAGATATTCATGAGCTCACTAGCACTTCAGGTTTTTTAAAAAGTTTATGGACCAAAGTTTTTTTGCTGAGGTTTCCTAATTTGTCGACACGGTCCCTAGTCGTAGTAAAAAACAGCTGGCAGAAGGTCAAGTCGTAAGGTCACCGCGTGTCTGGAAGCGGTGCCCCCTGGGAGCGAGAGAACACTTGGCGTTAATTTGTAGATGTCTTAGGGTAGTCATGGAAACTAAAGAACAAACAGAGATTGTCCTGCCTGAAACTTATTAACACACCAGCCTTCTTCAAGAATGTGTCTTTGATGAGGTTCCATAACCTAGTCTCCAATCGCCAACTCAGAAGTGTCTTAACAGTTTTTCCACGAAATGTAGTCTTGCTTTCACCTCATTTACAACATATAGGAGGACTTAATTCAACAGCATCCAGTTTCTAGCTAATGACAACAGTGATGACCAACCAGAAATCGGCATGTCATGAGTGGCTAATCGGGCAGATGAGATGAATCTTCAGACAACATCATTCACGGGGTATAATTTAAAATGCGGAAATTGGTATGAGTTTACTTTGTAATAGTACACCCACTTTCGATTTGCCCCGTTTCTAAATCGCTTAAGTTTACTTAGCTGCCAAGGGTAAAATTAATGCTTACTGTGCATTACTTACGGCTCAAGTCGTAGTTATCAGTTATCTGTCACCTGTAAACTTATCAGTTTCTCATTATCACATTAGTATCATTAGATTCACAAAAAATAAAATTAGTCACTCCATCCTTTCGTACACAGAAGCCATTGCTTTACATTCTTGGCATATTCCATCTTCTGCGCGACTCCGCCGGTCTTATGGCCAGTGGGCTGGGATAGTTTACGTGCCCTAATTTGGTCATCAGATCAGGCGAAAATACTTCAGCCTGAGTGGTCAGTACCGTGCTACGGTACATGGTTTCAGTGCACATCGAGAGTTGACAATGCAAGTGTCAACTTTTTGCTTTGTTGTCAATTTTGTCATATTTGACAGTCAAAACAGTGAGATGTTCAAAACCGAACCTTTGAAATATTTTTGGTTTTTCATTTGATTCATGACATGAAATATTCGGAAAGTATGCCAAACACGATAATGTTCAAAACATGCTAAGTTCATATTTCTTCAAATAATGAAATTGTTCAGAGACAATGAAGGAAAAAAATGTCGAAAAAAAGTGTTCCTCTTTTACTGGGAAGGAATGCAAACGCATATACAGAGATTAAACATTCCGTTCAGTTTGTTTATTTTGACCAACAAGTTGCGATTGTCACCGCAGGATATGTACCACTTTTGACACGGGACTTTGTTGATTTTGCTTTCATCCTTCCGACTTGCAGACTCAGAACAGACTCGGAACTAAGTCCCTCATTTTGGGGGTTGGGAGTATTAAAATAATAGCTACACCTAGGTTGGAAACCAGCCAGACGGGTTGGTTTGTGGAAATATACAACTTATCACCAAAAACTGACTCACAAAGTACGAATAATTATGTGGCGCCTTGCCAATCATCGGGTGAGTAGCCGGGCTTTCGTTTGCCCGTTGCAAAATAGAATTTTCGCTCCCTGGAATCAATTTTCATTGCCCCGAAATTACTTTCTCCAGCCCATTACAATCGACTACTCTGTACCCCGGGTAACACAACTGTCGTTCAATTCTGACCGAAAACTGGACATGGTCATATTTCCCTAAACGGTGCGACAGACGGTTGTTAGGTACCATACGCCATGTTTTCATTGATTCAATCAGGTAATATTCAGAAGCACAAATAAGGAGGAGGGGTTAAATATGTACATGAGTACTTTTTACAGCAAAATTTCAAGGACTCCGAGCACCGTAAACAGCCGTTCAGCCCATCCAAAAGCCAGGCACAGTCACGTTATGCTCGCGTGGTTCGCCTGCTCCGTGTCGCGTGGGAGAATTTTGGTAAGCGTGAAAAGAGAAGAAAACGAAAGTACATGTTTAACTGTCCCTCCAAAAGAACCGCAAACACACATCAATATACAGGTCCTCACACATTGTTACGTGCCAGAAAAACCAGGAAATGTAGCGACGGCACAGTCAAGCCATGAAACTTAACCTTGCGCACCTTAGGTTCTAAACTCTCAACGTAAGATCCCATTCAAGGACTTCTACAAATTTCCTAATTTGAAGTTGAAAATAGGTGATAATGAGTCCACGCGAAAGTTTGCCCATCAAGTGTCTGAGTTGAACTGTCAAATGCCCGCAAACTTATATTTGAACATCAGTGACTAAAACCCTCCCCCGACCATGACAAAAAATATCTTTATTTCCATTACAGGAATACAGAGTGAAGGTATAAAAGATGTTCTTTTCAAGTTTTAGCCTTCTCATCTTGGGATGAAAAAATTAACGATTAGGCCTAGTAGGCCTACATACTGAGGACATGGGCTAATCTTACTGCATCTTCGCCGAAATGTATTCGGACCAGCGTCTCTGGTTCTGTATTATACGGTCCGAAACCTGCAGTTTTCGAGATAACCACGCAACTACTTAACATACAATACACCGAGTTCAGTTCCCCTCTGCTTTTACGTTGCTCACATGTACATGTACGTGGACAGTATAATGTACAAATGTACATGTACAGTACATGTTACAGCATATCAGTGCATGCATTGCATTGTGACACAAAGGAAGACATTGGTGTAGGCACCATGCTCACAGCTTCAACATGTACATTTTAGCGCTTTTCTGTTAGCTTTTCTCGTCCTCAGGACTCAATGTGTAAATAAGACTATCATCTCACTTATCATACTCCATCTCAAGAAAGAGAAGAGGACCTAAAGACCACGCACGATTCCTCATAACTGGTTAGACTCGTTTTCCTTCCCTATGGACGAACTTCGCTGCTGCAATGTTTTCTTGATAGTGCTGTGGCGCCCGTTCTCCGAGTCTGAGGGTCCCAGTCTTCAGTTAGTTTCGTTTTCAAATAAATTTTTCCTGCCTTTGAGGACATGCTTCTGGTGTTAATTCGGCTGGTCCCTAGCAACGTTGTTGGCCTATATGAGAGTTGACCTGTAGTGTGGTGGATACCAATTTCATTTGTCTTGCAGTCTTGCCTAAAGTTGCCTCCCCTGAAAAGAAGTCATTAGAGTACCTAAAGTGAAGAAATGCGAAGTGGACAGTGAGTAAGCCGATCAATATTTATGTTATCTCAAACAAAAACAGCAATTGACGTCTGATGTTGTTAGGCAAATATCGCAAAAGAGTTGGCATGCTTGCCAATAATTAAGAAACCGTTCACCACATTTGGAGAAGGCGTCAAGTCGCATAATATTAAAAAATGCAGTCTCCCAGAAGTGAAAATGTAAGTTCATGACACCAGAAAAACAAAACCAAAAAGTTGTCTTGATTCCTGTCTTTTTAATGCAATATTTAATACTTCAGCCGTAAGAGCAGGCATGCAGGTATACGACAAATATACATACATTGATATATTATCTTTATATATAAATAACTTGCTTAGACTTACACATTTGAAATTTAACCCATCTTCAAAGCAACCAACCCATGTAATAATTGCCTAGTGAAATTCGGCTGTGAAAATGCTGAGTGGCAGATGGTTCTACAGTCAATAGAATTAGAAAATGTTCAGTTCATTTGAAATTACTAATATAAATACATGGTGTCAATGCACGGAATTTGGAAAACACGTGTGCAAGGATTAAAACGGAAGCACAAATATGCAGATTCTACAAGGATTATCGTACATGTTTAATTTCCCTACAAAATTTCTGTACTTTCAATTGTCGGTTGTTCTGAGCAATCTGAGATATTATGGCTCACATGCTGATATAATATACAAATGCGGCATTGCAAAAAAATTTCAGTTCATCTCGCCTAAATGTAATATTGTTTTATTTCAAGTCATAGTTCATGAAAAGACAAATTGCTGCGTCTTCATTACCACCCTTCTCTCAAAATTTGCGAACATTTTTTTTAGGCGCAATCAACTATTTTGTCTGAGTTCCAGTGTGCCGCCCGTTACACGTTGCCCCGTGATGCAGGAACCAGTCCTATGTCGCGTTTACAAGCAGTTGTCCCTTCGCACCGTCTGGTTCCTGTTGGCTCATCGTGCATGCTCTTCACAACACTGAAAAATGAAATCTGTTTCAACAGGGGATATAAAACCACTACGATATTGTACATCAAGCCACCGAAGGACGCAGACTGACACATACTAGGGTCAATTCTAGGACCACGGGTCGCATTCAAGAACGTGACCTAAACGCGGACCAAGTCAACTTACTGGCGGACCCCGAGGCCATGGATTTGTTACAAAAGCCGAATGGTCTCCAGTTAAGCGAAGACTTAGCTCGTAGTAAATCTTCAAGGTCTTCAATCAGATCAATTAACTACAGTGACATACTGATCTACAATTGTAATTGGCTACACCGTTGTTCCAAGCAGGTTGCTATACATAATACAGTATTTCAGGCAGGGAGATGCACCCAGCTCATTGAAAATCATTTAATGTTGTTGGCAGAAGAAATGAAGAGATGAAATGACTTTTAGAAAGAAAAACACCTCATACTGACTGCTCAACTGAAACAATCCACTGGCCAGTTGAGAATTTGTTTGAATTTGTTTCAACTTCACAAAGATACTTAATATGTTGGTTCTTTCGACTGTTTTTCCACAAATGGGATCACACAATGAAATATATAGAAACATCAATGTGATTAGAATATAGTATCCCTGCCTCGTTACTCTAAACATGAAACTTATACATTGAAATGCTACATATTTCCGTTTCCAAAAATATCAATTTTGGTTAGAAATCGTTTGCCTGAGCTGAGAACAATGCCACTGTCAAATGCTACTTTTGTACAATTTAAGCAATACACAAGCTTTTTGCACAAGTCCAATTGCTTACATGTAATTTTAACTGGTTACTGGAATGTTGCTGATTACGATCAAAGAATAAGTTATTCATAAATTTAATTAAATAACTACGACCATTTTATCTAATACAAACTTTCCTTCTCGTTAGTTTCTGGAAATAACTTACTATACAAACATTTTACACAATGTACATGTATACCTGTACAAGTATTAACACAGGAGTCTCAAACTAGAGGTGTTCACAAATGTTGCTCACGTATCCCACCGCGCCAGAGCGCCTTTTTTGTTTGAGTAATACTGACAATAGAAACACCTGTTTTATTTGCCTACTGTCAATCATGTTAAATCACTCAACTGTATGATAAAAATACAACCGTGACCTACATATATCAGATGGGGTTACAAGTTGAAAGAAGGGACTGTTTTATTTCTTCATTGCGAGTTCTGACGAGCCTGTGGTTTTCTCATATCTGCACCACAGTTCTCAGATCGACTCTGTACTTTTCAAACACTCGCCGCCAGCCAAAAAAGGCGGGAAAATGCTGGCAATCTGCCCACTACCACATGACTTCAAAGGATGCGTGAGGCTCAGGTAGGCCCAGATTTCTTGGCTGTGAGCCAGAGATTTATTCAGTGACCCGCCGACCCGTTGTTTTTGGGTGCACGCAGGGGCTGTCAGTGAGACCGTGAGGCGCAGTGCCGTTTTACTGCTCGGGGAAAAAACCTGCATGCTCCCCGGTGGATCGCGTCTCTCTCCCAAGATGGGACAAACAAGGTCACGTGCAAGTTTACAGGTAAGAAATGAAAGGCTGAGCGCCCGCAGCGGCGTCTCAGTCCAGTTCTAACTATCTGAAGACCCTTGACCCTTCTATCAGGAGACCTCTGACCTTCGACGGGGTGTGGTCGTCACTCACTGTGTGTTGTTGCACTTGCCCTCCATTCTGTTAATAGAAGGATTAATGAAAATTACAAATCGACGTGAAGCTGTTGCCTTTTAAATAAGGAATGATTGATTCAAGTATTAATTTGTACACGTATCTGAAAATTCATGCAATATATAAGGGCAGAGACAAACACATCAAATTTACAAACTTTCACCGCCTTTCCGCCTACACACCTAATGTGAATATCACACCTGATGTGGAAATCGTTTTTCAGGTTTCAAACGCACACAAAAACATATGTGAAATTACGATACAACGCTATTTTCAATGCATAAATAGGAGCGTTACCCACCCCACGCGCTATAAGCATGAGAAGCCTGACTGCACGCGAAGAGAGAGCTCCAGCGCCAGTTATTGTATGCAAAGTGGCAGGGTATTTACAGGGACGTAACTGTCAGGGCAGCAGTTTATTAAGGCACATGAATACTTCAGCGTCGATTTACCACGGAAGGAAGGCGTTCTACACCGACGAAACTGTCACATCTGCAGATGCTGTTATTCTATCCATTTGATCATTACTACACAGCAAAAGCTCTGATGTTGTAAACAACCCTTTTTGGTGTTATCAAATGACTATACCAGAATGTGTTGCTTTAACACCGCTAGTATTACTCAACACGCCTTAAAGTGTTACAATGCACACGGTGGAAAGTGTCAGCATGGTCCTCTGATAATACATGTACACATACTTCGTCTACATACGTTTTGGTTGGCGTTTTTGGGGCTATGAATGAATTTTGTTGAGGTTGTCTGGTACCTGTTCACGGGTCAAGGACAAAGAAGCCTTCGACTTTACACAAGACACCGAAACTACCTACATGCTTGTATACCTTTTAATATTTACGTGTACATGTTCACTGTATAATTGCAAATGTTGTATCTTTCGGTCTGGTGTGAACATTTAATGACATGGCAACACTGAAATAAAAGTACACACCAAAAAATCAACCACCCCCCCAAAAAGTGTATTTTTTTCCTTATTCAAAGGAACGTCAAATAACTAAATTGCAATCCTTATTTTCTAGGAATTTGCTTACTACAACTATTGTATACATCCCCCTTGTGTATTCACTCCATCCTGACAGGAACACTGCATTAGGTTTGAGAGGCTGTTGATTTTCTCGCCGTGTGCAATTGTGTCATGCTAAAGTTAATTTTGTTTGCAAATCCATTTAGATCGCATGTACAACTAAATTTTGGCGGCGATCCAAGCTACAGATTCCATGGAACAATTTCAGAACGGCTAAAAACAAGGTTGGTGACAATGCATGTCCTTGTAGTGAAGTAACACGTTCAATGACCTCTAAATCCCAGTGGGTTCCTTTACAATCGTCGCACAAAAGCGGTGTCAATCGCTGGTACCCGTGTTTATCAAACAACCGACTGGTTCAGAAACCCGTCTCATTGGCGCACTACGCGAATGTTTTATGACTAAACGTTGACAAAGTAAACACCGACGCATACAACTATTACGAAGCGATCAGTTCTGTTTACGCCGGACATATAATGGGCAAAGGGTATACAATATTTTGTACATGACGTGGCTCAGAAAAGGGGTCGAAGGGAGGAGAGCAAGTTTGTAGTAAACAGGGTCAAGAGGTCAAAAGCTTTGTAAAGTTGCTAAGATTGAACGGGCTGCCAATCAATGTGATTTGACCCAACCATCCAGCATGTCCGCAGAATACTGCCAGCTACATGCGATACTACCCAAATCTGAATAAATCTCAGACATCTTACGCGCCTCAATTACATTACCAAGCCAAAATACACGGCGATTAACTGACTAGAGACGATACTTAAAATGCAGAAGCCTGTATACAAACTTGTTGCAGCATTGTATACATGCAAATGGTAAACCGATTGTCACCAATGCTCGTGTAAAATTCAGAAAAAATTACAATACACTGTAAATTACCAACGCAATGATTTTTTTGAAAATGTGATTTTTTTCCAGTAAAGCATTTCCATGAAGAAAATCCCCCTTGTAACTCCCGCCTAGTAAATTAAATCAAGAAGCCAACAGCTCAATCGTGCGGCGCCATCATCGTGTGCGTCTGGTAACGTGTTCAACAGTCATTAATTAATAGGCCACAAGTCGCAAAACACCATTTGGACGTGTTTGCAATCAGCAACATGTCAGCACTTGACAGTCAGACCAAATCAAGTTCTAACTTGTCTTGCCTTGGTTAAAACGAGTTCAGACTTGCCAAGTTTGGTTTCCATTCACAAAATAACAATGTGTCAGATCAAAATGTTTGATACACTGCTGCATTGGTACCAGAATATTAACAAGTCCAAACATGTCCAAATGTTAGTATCTGATTTTTCCAACTGTGACTCATGTTTTATATTCCTTTCCTTTCATTCATCATTGGCTGCTGACGTTCAAAATACTTATTAACAATCGAACTGAACCGATCATAATATTTTAAGTCAACATCGTTTGTTGCCACCACAGTACCGGGCGTGGTCAACCCGAACTGACCGGAGCTATCCAACCAGTGGACATTAAATGATGTTACAGATTTTCTTTGAAATTGATTTTTCTTCAGTGAACAAGTGCTTTATGTGTATTTCCAGACGAGATAGCGTTACCATTCCAATATTCATATCATTCAGTTATAATTATATCCTAAAGAATACATGTAGACCAAATGGTTGTTGAAATGAATTTGGCTTGGTGTTTGGCTACTACTACTACCAAAATCAACATGCCTTCTAATATTGTGTACGTGTAAGTTCTAACTTCTCTTACCCCTAAGATTGACATACCAGTTCTCGTTTCGTAAAATTGATTTTACAAATGCATCCCTAGAATACATTATCTGCGCAATTAGGCCTGCTGAGCTGAAAAGCCGTGGAAATGCTTGTGCGTCTATAATATAGTTCTTCTCAACAGTCACAGTATTTTACTTTTACAACCCCCATGGGCATTTGAGATTGTTCACTGCACCAGTCATTCGACACCCATAACTGGGTTCTAAAAATAGGGTTGTGAACTGACGCTCAGTTCAGGAACGAAGACCCTGGATTCCCAGGGTATGGGGACCATCTTTGGCACGCGTCTGTTATTCAATTCCACATGCGCCCGATTTTGAGCACCTCAGGAGCCACACCCTTTTGCCCCTTCTCCGACATTACATGAACAGCAATTTGTGCTTCATTTTACATTCTGTGAATAAGACGAGAAGGAAACTCTGGCGAATGCTTCTTACCACTTTGCTCAGAGAGGGGCTACATCACGAACGACCCGTAGTGGAGTGCGACACCGACGAGCTACCGGGCAGCTGACGCCGTCGCTTGGCGGGGTCGTGCGAGTGTTTCCCACCGTCAGCATCGCTGTTGGAACCACTGCTCGTGCTGCCGCTGCCAGACCGTCTTCGCTTGCGTTGTTTCATAACATCTGAAACAAGGTGTGGATTGTAACCGAATAAAACAATGAATCCAGTGGGATTTGTGTAAGGCACATACAAAGGAAACTTAACTCCAACTTGCTCGATCAATGAGTTGAAAGACAAATGCAGTACACTAAGATTTAACAATAGAATTGTTAATATAGCCTGTATTACCTCCCATCAAAGTGCAGAAAATGCATGTACAAATTCTTAACCAAAAAAAACCCTGATTCCTTCCACTGCAACAAACGTATTATCAGCAATCTTATGAAATATAACGGCTTGGTGTGAAAGTCAGATTTGTTCTTTTAAGATATGTTTAAAGTTTATCAAACCATGTTCAAACCAACAAAGACAGGGTCCCGGTCAAGGAACTCAGAGTTTGTGTTCAAATACGTATGCTGTGTGCCATTCGGATGCATTGCATTAACTGGCATGTAGTGGGAAATGCGATATTGCCGAGTAATTGACAAGAGGATACTGATCATTTAACTACGTAAAAATTGCTTTAGCCAAAGAGGATAAAAAAGTATACTTGTGGCCAATTATGAGGAAACTTCAACACGATATGCAAAGCGCTACGAAAGTTTGGCATGTGTGGGTTGTTTTCTCTATTATGTTCCGAGCTTAATTGCGAACATTTACATTCAACGGAAATATTCTGTGTCAGGAACATGTTTTAACTTGCCCATGACGACACATATTGATCCCACAATAACAATAGCACTTGTTGGAAGAAGTTTGCCCGCGAAACTAAACCAGCACACTTCACATGGGCAGGCTGTGGTAAGCCTGTGGGCCATGCACTGAAGGCCGTGTGCCAACTGCTCGTGCACAGCCCGTGCCTACTGAATGGAGTTGTTTACGAGTTAGCGACCGACGTGCCCACACAGCGCTTGCAGAACGCCGGCAACAATCTGCCGTTCAAAACAGCACACATGACAGTCGTAGTCATATCGGTGGGTGGTTACGCTACGAGCAAATTGCTGTACTGTAAAATACTTGGAATCGACTCCGATAGACTTGCCTTTCCATTTGAACAGTAAGCTAACGCCCTATCCCTTGAACCATGCTTGAACTATCTCCTCTCATCTGAAGCCCCATACTTCTGGGAGTAAACTTAACCTCAACTTCTAAGACAAGAATTTGCAGAAGTCCCATTAGTTGACAATTAATATGCATTAGTCTCGGACAATTCTTAGTTACCTTTCTTGCATCATTAAAACTTTCTCTTGCAAATATCACGACCGGGTTGTAATACAAGCCCTACACTATTTTACAACCCACCCTCAACAACACTTGAACTGCCGGATGTCATATTTCTGACGGGTTTCATGCAGAACAGGGCTGGAATAGGATCCCATAACTGACATCAAGATTTTCAAAATTAACTCCGTAGTTCTTGTAGCGTGTACGATAGGATTCATGTCATGAATTCCGTTCCTATGAGCTGGTCTATAAATCATACAATGTAGTTACAGGTACAGCTTGTAACAGGAAAAACCGTCACTCCCGTCATTATTTAAGTATTATTCTTTACAAATGGTCTACTTCACAATGGTCTTTGAACCATAAATATTTACGAATACTTCATATGACTTCACACAACTACTGGAAAATAAGTAGGTTTTTATTCAACTTCGAGCCCCAACAAAAGTAGACGGTTGTTCGGGTATCAAAGCTCTGTGTATGCTGTAATAGGGGGATTTTCTTGTTGCGACAGACATGTTGCGACAAGCCGGGACAAGTTGGTTTTTTTTTTATTATCTATGTGTATTCTATTGTGAAGATGACGTGTGGTATATTTGAACAAGCACGACAGCATACTGATAAAAAATAAACCACACGCCACTTCACTGCGTAAATGAAAATTGTACCCACTTGTTTTTCTATCAACAGCTTCAGGTTAAACAAGGTTACGTATAAATGAACAAATTACCACTAGTACCAGTAAACCGTTATAGAGATAAAATTGATGACACAAATACTTTACGATGTGCGAAACTGCAATAAGCTAACGCAGTACTTGCAACAGTATTGATACTGTTTCAGTCTTTTTGAACAATTTGTACTAGAGGATAATGAATGAAACAAAAACGAATTCACATTAGGAGTTCCATATCCTGACATCACATCATAAGGGATAACATGTCTATAACAGTCAAACTTGGCGTTGATACTTTGCTCGATACTTAACATTTTCAGACCAGTCTCATACGGCACGTGGGGTTCGTGCACAGGGTGTCAAGTGATGTCCATGTATCGAACTCTTTCCTTCATGATTTTTGTTAGAAGAACGTATTTAAGGCGACGAAACCTACACTTACCAGTGACTTGGCTTTGAGTTGGTGCTGTTCTCACGTTTGTCGAAGTCGCACAGCTTCTTCCCGCTGTTCCTGAACGACCCGGTGATTCTGATGACGAGGAGGGTGTGGAACAAGGGTTAGGAGATGTGGCAGTGGTGGAGTTCGTTTCAGTCGGGCATAAATCTTGGTGCTGTACCGGTCTAAACGTCCGGGTGTTCTCAGCGTCCAGTCTGTTAACAAGGGACGCTGAAGCGTGGCGGCTGGTGGTGGTGCAGATGGCTGCATTAGGTCGTCCGTTTTCAGAGCTTCGGTGTTGAGGAAACTGAGAGGTGTGGGGTGTTGGCAGGGGTCTTAACCTAGAATGACGATGCCCTGGCCTCGCCACCGTCTCGTGGTAAAATGAAGACACTCTCTCCTCAGGTGTCGCCTCCCAATCTATGTACCGGCTGCTGCCGTCTTGGTTAGGCAGCGGCTCTCCACGGTCGAAATCGAAGCCATACTCTTTCCTCTGTTCCTCTCTCATTCTTGCGAGCTGGTTTTGCAAGACGCGGTTCGTCTCGTCGTGGTCCACCGGGAAGAGCTTTCGGCAGGCCCGTGGCTTAGGCATCCTGGATGGGCAGGACGGAGACGGCTGTCTCCGGAACTCCGGGAGCAACGGCGATTCGACCCGTACCGAGCTCATCCTATGGTCTGACGACACAGTGCGCTAAATTGACAGGTGCTTTACAGCTGGCAGGCTACAACTTACAAGAAGTGCACAGGCCCGTGTGCACTCTCACGGCGGTACACGCAAATAAAGTTGTATGTCATAAATGACATAAACCTGATATTTTTCTCTATCTCTGTACTCCTTTGCTACCGTGGGTCACTCCCCACTCAACTACGCAGCACAACTCAGTCATGGCTAGGCAAAACGCCTACTATGAAGCGATTGTTTGGAGCTTGCTTTCATTCACTGACGAGCAGCCAGGGCGTAGTACAAAGGCCGATATGATAATAAGCCCCAGCCAGGGTTGTTTACCACGCATCCGGGGAACGTGATTACGCATAGTCGGTTCTGATTGGTGGGAACCGAGCCAAGAAAGGTGGGTCTACGGTGTATAACAAAAGGTGTTATTCAGAATGTTTGGCCCCGGCGGTTGCAGGAAACAAAGGTCATGCATAATGCATAATCCGTACGCGTTGGTGGGTCAGTGTTTGCTGTGTGCCTGTGGTGTGGTGATGCTTATCGGGACCAATAGGTCTCACGATTACACGACGTCAGGTCAAGTGAAAATTTGTGCAGTCATTGTTGCGCTACCTTTTTCGTTTTTCATTGTTATTAAATGATGTTGTAGAAATGAAAGGTAAGCTTGCTCTGAATGAGTCCCTTCAGTGAAAAAAGAAATCAAGTCAAGTATTTCCCTCGTCTCTTTATACTGGAGACTCCACTCTTTATTCATGGATTATTTCACTGAAGAGACGAAGAAATAACAGCAGATTTTGATGGTGTAATTTCTTCATAGTAACTTGGCACAAATTAATTGACGATGTAATCCATGAGGACAGATAAGTAAGACAACTCACAAGGTTGAGCCATGCTATAGTGTTCCTGAAAATTGTCACGGTAGATTACAAAATGTATTTGGATATCCACTGGACTGCTAGGCAGTGATGTGAGGGTTGAGCATTGTGATTCGATTTCCATGACCAGTGGAGTCTGTTCACAATACCTGCTGTGACGGATGAAAAACATGGCCATGATTTCAGGACACATCTTCTGCGGGAAATTGTAAAAATTTGTAGAAGTGAAATTCATTTTTTTTTTCATAATCTAGAGTCAAGCAGAGGGAGTAAAAGCTCTCACATGGTAATCAGTGCACTGGGGCTTTTTCTCTGCAAACATCATTCATTCCTTAAAAAATGTTCGCTAAGGTACACAGTGACTCTTTCAAAGCCAGTAAATTGCCAATCGTTTAATTAACAACTGTGTAATCACGTCGAACGCAAGGTTATGCACATCGTCAGCAGTAATGTGTCCATCACTTAACTTTTCCATCCTGAAACAGAAAAGTAGAAAGCTGCCTTCCACAATGGATGGAACCGCTTTGTGTCTCGAAGCATTTTTTGGATTATTGCAACTGCAGTGGTGGGAGGGTAAATGAGCAAAGTCGTTTTATTGAAGGATTGAGGAAGGCAGATAAGGTTAAAGACAGCATAGGCATAATTATTAAAAGGCCAGGAATCACTGACAGGAATTCCTTGCATAACATTTCTCCTGACATTGTATACATTGTATAATCCTGAAATCTATCTTGACACCCTACTAAATGCATCTTTACGCTTCTGAGAAAAATGTTGGTTCCAACAAGAAAAGGTGACACAAGTGATTTGTGAGATGGAAGTTGTTACACAAGTTAATGTAGGTGTACATAGGGCATTTTCTGGACCACGGCACATCTTGAAGCAGTTTGCTGTCAAAGGGAACCTCATCAACCGGCTAATCATGAAGCTTTACAGTACATCAGGACTGCATATAGAGTGGCACCAACTTCAGACTTTGAAACCAAAATAACTGTTCATTATACATGTGTGTGCAATTAAGCATACAGAAGTTGTGTGTTGAGTGTCCGTGTGCACTGACGAATAATCCAACATGTTGATTCCAACAATCATGGAACTACGTTTAATAGCTCCATGCAACACTTGAGGCATTCATTCATGTCGCAACTCTCTCTATATGTGTACACAGCAGGCTGCTGTTCATGTATACATTGCGCCCTCAACGTGGTAATTATATCGTATATATAGTAAATTATGTCACTCATAATGCACCCCGCGTGACTCAAAGAGCAGTTATACTTACAGACTAGGAAGCGAATTACTATTAGGTGAGGGGGAACGGGGTCAGGAGACGAGACATAAAAAAAAACCAGTCACCCTTTCATTTGCAGATGGTTGCACAATATTGTGGAGTTTGCCTTTATTCACAATTTATGTTTATACACAGTACGTGTACGTACATGTACTGTACATGCACATTCATGTACTGTACGAGGGAACCTAGTGCATGTTGATGTGTCGAGAGAGGGCGCACCACAGTTTTACAGCCCGCAGCTTGCCTGAGACCGACAAGCCTTAAGAGTGAGCTCGAAGGTTTGGTTTATCATTGTCGACAAGCAAACTGTAATTGGAGCGGCTGTGCTCATTGATGCAAAAACTTTATACGATAACTTCTAACCGACGTTCATCACTTTTATCTGACGCCCGCTGCTTGACCCTTCTCAACCAGCCGACCTCTTGACGAAAGAGACTGTACCCAACTCGTTTATGATATTTGCCATTCGTGTAATCTGATTGCCTTTTTAACTGATCCAACACAAGGAGCGGAAACGATAAAGTTTGGATACTGCCAGCTTAGTATCAGTCTAATAGTGTGATACATCAACAATACGTGGCCAAACAACATCGTCGTCAGAAAACAATGAGATATTTCGAAGAAAATCCAAATTTTAAACATTTACAGTCTTTATTTTTCTCCCGCGTGACAGGGGTGTAGTGTAAATGGTGTGAAGGATGCGTTAAATGCGCAGTTTTTACCAAACATTATTGTTCGACATTCTATTAAAACAAGCTATTGGCCCATAATGTCCTGTGGGAGCCGACTCAGGGAACTGCCAAGTGGGGGGGGGGGGGAGCTTGTACGTCTACACGTACACGCTAAGGCGGGACGTTGGTCTCAGCATAGAGCACGGACCCTTGCTGAGGACCTCACTGTTGGATAGGGAAGGGTGGAAATTGGCTACCAAGTCCCGAGTTGATATAGGATATTATGGTGTTTTATATCTGCCACGCACCCTCGTACCCTATCTCAAAGCAATTACTATATCGGCAGTGTTGGATTATAAATGTCGCCGTATTCTGGCACCCGAGAATATTTTCTCGTCACACCCTACATGGAAGGATGTCTAATTCAATAACCCTGGTACTGAAATGTAAATCGAACCATTTGCTACTACATGTACTTCAGGGAGGAGAACTAGGGCCAAATCAGGGATCGGCTGATTTGACGAGCCGCGGCGGCCAGACCAGACTAGAGCCTCGTTAGGATGTAACAAGGCGTTACCGAATGGTTGTTTGCAATTGTCCATGCTAATTGTCGCGACTGCCGGCTCTGTGTCCTTGCAAGGACAAGGATCTCAGTCGTCTCGTCGCATCGATCCAGCTGATCGGTGTTGTATGTAGCGAGGTCACGGGTTTTATCCGTTGCAGGCGGGTTTGTGTACATTTTGTCTGGGTATGCACCGGTCAGCTGGCTTCCATTGTCTGGAGAGGTAGTCTTAAGTGGTCAGTGAGTCTAATCGAAATGACCTTCAGGTCACCTGGGTTTGCCGGCTTTACTCTGTCCACGTCTGTCCCTTTTTTGTTCCTCAGTCTTGAAATTCAATGTACTCGCTTACTGCAAAAAAAAAATTCAGCACCGATGAACGTTGTACTATTTTTGTAACTCGCAACGCGAACCTTATTTATTATTCCTCTTCCATTTTTTGGAAATGAAAACCAAAACAAACTGAAGTTAAACAAAACGAGAACCAAATCCCTACATTCGGAGAAAGATGCAAACAAATCTGAACCAGCCTCTTCACCGAGAAGGAGGCCTGTCCTTGTCAATCAGCCCAAGGGGTCAAAGGGTTGTGTCAGAACTTCAATTAGTTAACAACCTGAGGTGGTGTCCCACTGCGTCAAAGGAACAGCTAAGGGTGACATTTTGCAGTGGCTGAACACAGTTGCGTCACTACTGCCTCTGACCCCTCACCAAAACCTTCCTCCTATGTGGTGTATAATTTTTGTCAGACGAAGACAGCATGAAGTACCGTGAAATCAGGGTCAAGTACAAGTTCCAAATCAACAACACCGGTTCCATCAGTCGAAAAGAGTGTCCGGGTCTCCTATAGCTGTAGTATATTGCTGTTTTGTTTATTTTCTTTGTTAAAGCACAATTAAAGAACACTGCACAATATAGAAAAAGACCAGTTGGATTTCACAAAATATTCAGATTCCTTTAATTCATATTTTGACCCAATATAAAACACTTCCTGCACAGTACAGGGATTCTAGTCTCAAGAATGGATGTTGCCTCATCGATTTACAGAGAAATTGGAAACTAAAAGAAGAAGAAATTGGAAACTAAAAGAAGAAGAATTAACAAAAAGGGAGCAACAACAGCAGCAATAAAGAGCAAGTTTGGAATAATAATAATATAATAATAATGATAAACCAAATTGCAGGATGATCGCAGATGACAGAATTGGGTTATTGACGTGACTGCACAATGTCAGGGCCTAATAGCGGACCCTTATTAACTCCACACTCAGAGGCCGGTCACTCATTCCGAAATATGTTTCCTTGTGAGACGTGGCTTTGTTCTCCATTATTAACTGTGTTTTGGAATATGGTGCCTTGTGGAGACCCAGGAGAATGGGTTGAATAGGTCTCCACAAGGCATTTCTAAAGGCGTATAGGTCTCCACAAGGATTTCACGAATTGGAAATCGCTCAAAAAGGAGAAATTTTAATGCGTAACAATCGGTCGCAAATTGAAGTGTTTCATATAAGGGACATTCTGTCAAAACTTCAGCCCAGGAGAGTGATTCATGTTGACATGTTGGCATTTTGAAAACATCATTTCACACGCGACCGTGTTTCCCACGCAGTGTTTTTATTCTGCGGCACCTGCACATAGTATGCACAAGGCCTAGACCATCACTGGTCCACACATTGGCACACCAAACAAATTCATGAGATATCCATTTGGATACGTCAGCTAACTACATGTAAGTGTGGGGTGTACATACATGTACGAGAATCTCAAAATAGGAACAGTGGAATCGATCCAGAATGGCAAATATTGATTGTCGTCGTATGCAGAAAGTAGTAGTGTTTTGAACGTGGCGACCGTTTAACCGGCATACATTATTTTGGACATTTGTCAATGATATAACTTCTCGCATGTGTCGATAATATATCCACCGGCATGTGTCGATAATATATCCACCGGCATGTGTCGATAATATATCCACCGGCATGTGTCGATAATATATCCACTGGCATGTGTCAATGATATATCCACCGGCATGTGTCAATGATATATCCACCGGCATGCGTCAATGATATATCCACCGGCATGTGTCAATGATACATCAACCAGCATGTGTAAATGATCTTTTCTGCAAAATTATATGAGGGAAACGAAGGTGCCACAAAGTATGCCGGTATCTTATACTGCCATGGTCCGGATGCTTGTGAACTTGTGGTGACTCTGTGTCATCGGCTGAACAAAATCCATCCCAATGCGAGTTTATTTGGGGGGGGGTCGGGGGAGAGGTCACCCACGCCCTTGAATGGTATGAATAAAAGCACTTTATAAGCTACGCTTTGATTCAAGCAAAGAGCATAAGGATTATTTTACTCCCAGAATCTGAATTCGACATGGGCACTTACGCAATTAGCCTTAGGCTGCATCCGAATCTGTTGTATCTTCACTCCAATTGGAAATGCAGCATAAGACGCATAGGTAGAGTAGACCTAGCCGTAGCTCTGGAAGCCCGTTTTGGGAACGGCTTTAGTTTTGTCTATGTAATCTTTGATCTAATGTAAGTGAAAAATGTCAAGACTTCAGAGAGCTGTGTCTTAATCGGAGTTACCGCAGCAAGGTCAAGACACTGTAGGGGAACGAGAGCCGTGTTATGACATCATCAAATCACCAGATTTGTTTGCGCCCTCATCGAAGCATTTTTTATTTGTTCGAGTATTCTCACAGTGGAACTGGTCTACCAAAATGACGATTTTTTTTTATACATGCGTAGAAGCTGCCACTTTATATGGGTAATAATTACCAATTCCCTGTTTAACAACCTTTGTGCATAAATGCAATGTGATTGATCTTTATTCTGATGGGCTGCGGCTGCAAAGCTTTACCGGGGAATTACGCCGTCTTGTTTACTGGGCTAGGAATAGACAGTATAGTGCGTCACTGGCTGGGATTGAAGCAGTACCCACGAACCATGGACGTCATATACATATATCTAGACTAATAATGCTTTATTCGGCCTACTAAGGTCACTGAAGTCACCAGTGGCCATCTTACCGTGCTGAATACAAAGGTAATAGAAGGGCTTGCTCGTCATTGTTCGTGGCAACGATAGTACACGAGGGCACGCAACCAACGATCACCTTTATCCGTCTCATAGCTCCTCGGTATAAGCCGTAGTAAGATGGTCGCCGGTGGCTTCAGATGGTATACAAGGGTGCAGTCTACTAATTCAAGTGAGAATTTCTGGCCAGCTCATTAGCGTTAAAACGTGCCCCCGCGGTATCTTTTGAAAAAAGGAAATTGTACGGTCCCCAAAATGGTGAGATTGTGTAAATCTTTGCCAGGATCAACTCCCTAGGTCTTTTGGCGTTCATCTGAGAGCAGAATGGCTAAAAACACGGTTGATAAATGGTAATAAGTGCCCGAGAAAGTTGAGGATGGCCACTTAAAAAATGGCTGCAAGCAGACTTCGGAATAATCACTTTTCGGGGAGTAATTTTGCTTTGTGGGAATAACTAAAAATCAGTTAACCAAAAAAGAAATTGAAAGATCAAGGACCATATAGTAATTTAACATGTGTTTCAGATACTTAGATACTCAGATATACTACTTTTTACTGTTTCAGATGTTGGTACGCAATGTTATTAGGCCCTGAACAACGTCGATTTTACACTATTTTTAGTGGGTCTTGACTTAGTGGACTTAGCCCACAAGAGCATGACGAATCCCACTTTTTGGATATGACATCCGTGCTACGAACACGGCCATAACCGTATGACGTCACATCTGGTACCGTCTCAGTGACAGGGGTACAATAAGCTGCGAAGTTTCTTGCTGAAGTGTCGGCTGCTGGCTGAGCGCGCTTCGTAAACTCGGAGGACTTGTGCTGAGGAGCCATGATGCTAACTGGAATCACTTTGCAGGATGAGTTTTATGAAATATCAAGCACTGTCCACATTGACTCTGACGAGTTCCGACACCATCGCAACACCGCGAAGCAAAGATGATGTGACCAATGGCTTTCCTGAAAACTGCATACCGTATCTGTAAAGTAGTTCCTATTCGTCAGTAGCCCAGAGGCAAGATCGTTCCTGTTCACCTCTCCTCTCGATTGTTACTTATTTGCCTAATGCTTAATAACAGTACTTTTACATACTTCGATTCATGTCACAACTCCCTAGTGTAATGAATGGATTCTGCACTACTTATCAAGAGTTCGCCTCTTTCACGTTGTAGTAAATAGGTGATCCCGTGCTGTCGTTTTCTTTACTTCCAGAAGAAGGTCTGAAACAGTTATGAAGACAATTATACAATATACGTTTTCCTGGCCAATTTCAGCAAAAAAAATCGTTCATTTAATATAAGGTCCATCAATTAAATTCGTTTTAAACAGAATGATCCTACAAACGAGCATTCGAGAATTGAAAGAAGGCATTCGATTTCGTTACCGAACATTCTTTTAGAAAAAAGTTTCATTCAAATTCCAAAAGTCGTTTCGTTCATTCACATTCATTAAAGGGCTTAGAAAGAGGCTTATTAAGTATGCGAGTTACCAATGGGCAATCTCGTTTCACTTCGTTCAATTCAAATTCGTTCCAGTGATAAGCGCTTCTTGGATCCAATATAAAATCTGATTTTCCAAGAAACAAGGTTCAACGGTGGATCTTTAGACGGCTTTGTCAACGTAACTTTGTACAAAAGTTATTGCTTCCAGCTTCTTACAGAAAAGTGAGAATCGTAGGTAGGGAAAAGCTGTTTAACACTTTCCAGGGCAACTACGCATAGAAAGCCTACGCATAACAAGGTTTTTCATATTGTTTCTTTTAGTGGTTCAATGTTAATCATTTTGTTTCCCTGAAGTTTTGTTGACTTTTATACATAGATATTTTTGAAAAGGTCCGAATAAATCATACATGTATATGAAACACAAACTGAACAGCATCATTACTCACAGCAAAGAGCAAAACAACAACTGTCTGATTTGACTCAAAGTGTTGATACAAAAAATAATAATTGTGATATAAATAAATAAAAATAAACAAACAAATGACAAAGACATCACAATCATCAAAACAATGATTATGGAATAAGAATATCATACAGAACTACTAACAGTGGAAGAACAGCGGATAAGCTTATCCAGTACTACTGAACTGCACACTCTGAACGTGAAAAAGATTGACTGTAAACGAAAAAGAAAATCAGATCGCGTGCAGGTAAAAGATCTTGTGCGCGTCAATGATTTTTAATTTGACATGTAGCTGTTGGAAAAGGGCAGCAGAGATTACACTGAAGAGTGGTGATAGTGTAGTTTTGAATGTCTATCAACGAAGGAGAATGTCGTGAATGGAACTGAATGACAAAGCTAAAAAAACTTTTGTGCATGAAAACGAATTTGAATATCTGAAGAGGGAAAAAGAAACGAACTCTCGTACAAACCAAACCGTAGCACCTGTTTGAATGTGAACACGTGTTGACGAAAATGAGCGGAATCTTGCTGAAAACCTATAGTTGTACTATAGTGGTAGAAGTATATTGGTGATAGTAGTGGTGGCAGTAGAAGTGGTGGCGGAAGCAATAGTGGTGGTAGTGGTGGTAGTAGTGGTGGTGGTGGTAGTAGTTGTGGTAATAGTAGGGGTGATGGTGGTAATGGTAGTAGGGGTGGTAGTACATGTAGTGGTGGTGGTGG